GGAGTGAATTAATTTTTCCTTGTGAATAGCTGATGTCTTAGTTTTATTCCAAATTAATTCCTTGTGTAACTCTTCATCTGATCTCTTTAGTGTATCAACACACTGAAAATTGTTCAATTTTCCATTTCCACTTTTCCATTTCCGCTGTTTTGTACAGCAGAACTATATGCCTTTGGGCCCTAATCTAAAGCCAGCTGAAATTAACTAAATCTTTCCACTGATTTCAGTGTGGCTTTCAATAAATGTTTTGATGTTTTTACTGCTTTTAATCCTTTGTATAGTAAAATGTACAGTTATATACAAAAGGATACTCAAGTTCCATAGACTAATCAAAGATGGTATTTTCGAATTGCCTTGCAACTGATTTAAATAGAGAAAACAAGATTTAATGAATCATTTAAGTACTTCCTAAGGGCTCATGTATACTGTGTAGCTATGTGAAGGAATTCATGGCTTAATTAAACTACCCTTACAGTAACAAAAGATACAGTTGTCCAAAGGCATTGTAGACATTGTTTAAACAAATGCTCCAGACTAGTTGATTAAGCTCCAGGAACTCAACATCCTACGGACTTAGATTCAACTCCCAGATATGTTACCACCTGTTAGAAAAGATGGGATCTACTCCAGCATGTACCACTAGGATTGCATCCTTAAAATGGTGAATTTTTGCTATGGAACTCTTCTGCTTCACCCTACTTCACCTTGCATGTCTCTCTTTTCCTCAGTACGCATCTTTGTACTGAAGAAGAGATTGCAAAAGGAAACAGTTCCTCTACTTCTGTGTTTTGGCCAGCAAAGACTGTGGTGCAAAGGCGTTCTTCACTGGCTGTTTTTGTTCAAGCTGTCTACTTTGAGCCTTAGAGACATGAAAAATTCTGCCTTCCTAATTAACATGGGATTTTAATTTCAGTAATGAAAAATTAGATAAATGTTATCAGTATTCCACAAATAGCACCATGGAAATACCTTTCTTGAAAATAGTGCTTGTGTCTTACTTATAAAGCAAATGAAATGGGAACAAAACCAACTGAAACACATCAACTATATAACTTTTTGGCAATGTACGTTCCCTGTATTTGGGTTCCCTGGATGATGGTACATTTCCACAGCAGCCAGGCAAAAGAGAATTAAAATGCAGTAACTGTGTAGTTGTCTTCCACGTTGGGATTCATTCAATGTGCTGTTCTCTAGCATTGCATTGCTCAGTTAGATTTCAAGAAAGTATAATTTGGAATTTTTTCTGGGTGACACACTGAGCATGCCTTTGGCGTGACCCCTACACTGTTGGTGCTGACTTAAGTAGTTGCATGCCTCTCTGAGGTGTTTAGCACATCATAACTTTGAGACCGAAACTGGAGTAGCTCTTTGGAATAAAGTGGTCAGAACTTCCAGGGTCTTTCAGAAAGCATTCCTCAGAAAAAGTAATCTGAGGAAAAGGCAGATGTGCTAGTATGTAATCGGTTTTGAATTATTTCCTAGAACTATGTTCATGAGACTTTCATAACTGATTTGGGTAGTGATTCTGATTGCAGGGAAAGGAGCTGTTCATGACTGAAGAAGAAAGGCAGAGAGAAGCACGTCTCCGTGAGCAAGAACGCCAGGAGTTAATGCATCAGAAGCGGCTTGCGTTGGAGACTAACAAAATCATCAAAGAGCAGCAAGAAAAAGAGAGATTGTAAGGACTCTGTATAGGATTGCCTGAAAAATTTAGCTTGGATTTGGAAAGGGCATGGAAGACAGGAACAGCTGCGAGAAGATTCCCAACTTAGATTAACTGAATTTTGCTGTTGCAGAGTCTTTGTTCATAAGTCCTTATCCTGTGGTGCTCTTGATGTTCTGGGTTTTCAAAGCTGATATCATTCAAACACACCTTGAGCAGAAGGGTCACTTTGTTCCCTGACTTGTCATACCCCTATGATTCAGTGTGATATTGGTTATTTTCCTATGCCATTCCCTCATCCTTTTTTTTTTTTCTTCTTTCTTTTAGCAAGACAGTTACAAATTTTATACTCTTACAATAATACACTATGGAACTGTCTCCGAAGGAGATAGTGACTTAGAGTTAAATAGATGATATGCCCTTATTATCCAGATAGTCATGAATGTCCTCAGGGTTCCTATGAAAGTATATTGAACCCTTGGTATCTTAAAGATGACTTTTAAAAAGGCGCATTTTTCCCCAATGCATATGTATTTACTGTTTATATCTTTTACTAGCTATATGCTGACACACTTTGTGCAAGTTCTTACTCAAAAAATATTATTTCTATCATTGTGTCCTAATTCCTCTTATTATAGAAGAAAACTGGAGATTTCCCAGAAGGCTGCAGAGGAAGAAGAGAGATATCGCAGAGAAATAGAGCAGTAAGTAAAAACCTACATATGCAATATGCTGCCTGAAAAAAGGTGCTTATAATATATTAGATCTGGCTGAAAACATTCTGCGTATTCTTTTCTAATAAAATAGTATATGTTTTCATTTAGCTAAATGTAGGGTCCAATGTATATGAGTAAGTACACCACAGTTACAGAATGGGAAACAGATCTCAAAATCAGCACCTGGAAAACGTGAGGATTATGGTGATAAAAAATTCAATGTGAAACTGAAGCTGGGTGCTTATGTTAAAAATGTTATAAATGTATAGAGAAACTTAAGATTAAGGGAGTTCTGTGTCTCAGAACTTGTTTACTCTGTTGTCACTGAACCACTACCTTTAATTCTAACAGAAAAAAGAAATTAATACTGCAAGGAAATAGATCAGCGAAGAAACAGAGAAGAATGACTAAAGAGTTGGAAAACACTTGGGGGCTTGATGACACATCCACTTGCTTATATTTAAAAAAAAAAAACAAAAAACAGGTAGTCTGTTTGTGATCTGTAAGAGTGTACACAGCGTGGAATTCAATAGCTTTTTCAGTCTATCAGAAAGTTCTGAAAACAAAAGCTAGATAGATTTAGATTAAAATAAGGACTATGTGATGCTAATTGTCTTGAGTAGAAATTTCAGTCATCATAAAATTTAAGTTGGCTTTTGCTTTTCTAAGGAGAGAATTAATTAAATTAAAATTGTGGCACTGAAAGCAGGAAGTTCTATAACCTATTTTATTCAGGAAATCTGATTTTTATTATCACAGTCTATTATGGTTTTAAAAATCTGTGGTTCTAGGAACTAGACACATTCAAAGATTGTGTCATAATAAGGTCAGTACTATAAATGTAACTTAAGCATTGTTTTACATTTGGAACTTTAAAATTAACTAGTATAATATGTTGTTATCACAGTAATTAATTTCCCTTCTAAATGACATTGGGAAATTGCATGAAAGATAGTGTGAAATTGCACAATACCTGTTTTGATGCAGCCTTTTAGAGGTAAGATTGACCCTAAAGTATTCAACTTTGCACCTTTGACATCTTAAACAGTTTTTAGTTCATATTCATTCACTTAAATCCCGTTTCATGTACCTGTATTAGCTAAAATTCTCTGATAGAAAAAGTGCAGGTATTTCTGAATCTGAGGTGCAGAAAGGAATATGTTCCCCAGCTGTCACAAGAGAAAAATCTTCTGACTGGGCTCTACTGAAGGACATGCATGAATTCTTACACGTTTTCCTTTTCTAATTCCTGGGGAATAGGTAACATCCTGTTCTTTATTGTGGTCTTCTGTAAAATTCCTGCAATAGCCATGGAAAGCTGCTATAAAAGCAGACCGTCACAGGTGAAGAATGATTCCTTTCTCCAAATACAGATTGCCTGTCTGTTATAATGAATGTTCGCTATCTGCAGTATCCTTCTGAACTAAGTGCATCTTTACTCACTCAGTGAGGACTTTCATGATTAGGCTGCCTTAAGGGCTGCTCATTGTAAGGTCTAGCACGTCTTTGTACTTCCTTGTATAATTTCCAAGTGCTGCTCAGGCACTTGTTAAGTTTTTCCATATTACAACCCAAACTGGCTAAGTCAGCATCAATCTCCTTGGTGTAGGGGAGGGAGGATGGTAGCATAGGAACTTACATATTGTAAAGCTTAGATTTAATAAGCAATTGCAGACAGGCAGTTTCACTAGAATATAATGCTTTCCTGTATTAACAGTTTGTGAGGATGACCCTTTGTTCCATTTTTAAAATCCTTTCTGCAGGAATTCCTTGTATAAAGTCACTGCGTCCTTTATTAGTATCCCGCATACATTTTAGGAAAAAATTTCAAATGTGCCTAAATGGCAGAGGTCTGTGTATTTCAGGTTACATTGTAACCCCTTTTTTATTAAAATGAAATGTAATAACAAATCTAAACGTTCTGTCCAATGTTCCCTGCTATTGACTATGCCTCCAAATTTAAATACTGACCTCAGCTGCAGATTTAATAGTGACTTGATCACATGTGGATATTTTTTTAATTTACCTTAGCTAATTTAGAGATGCAAAAGATAATCCAATTGTAAATAGTATCATATATATCTAAGACCTGGTAAATTTTGGCACTATATATCAGTTTACCAGTTCAAGACAGGCTACAGCCAAGAATAGATCTTGGATCACTTAAAGGCACCATATATGAAGCTACAAGCTATTAGCTTATATGGCTGTTCTCTTGTGACCTACTTGGGATTTGCTGAATTTTCCTTCAAAATGTCCTTTTTGTGATCATGGTGCCTTTCTACGTACCTGCTAGGTAATTTCCTTGTTTTATGAGTTCTTTTGTCCTGAAGTGTGACAATTCTTCCCCTCCGCAGAATGCTGAATTTAATGTGGTTTGTGTCTCAACTGTATTTAGTTCTTTTTGAGAAGAGTCACTTTTTAGTGTAGCCTAGGGACTATATGTTTAGGAAGCAATCATCAAAATGGAGGTAAGATATAGAAATAAGACACATGCTTTTTAGGTATAATTTACCTTGTAAGGTCTGATTTAGGCATGTGGTAGATGTTCTCTCAATTATTTTTTTAGTTAAAACTGGCTATTTTTCTAATAGATACTTCCCAGTTCTAAAAATGAAAAATTATCAGGTGAGAGATGGCTTTTGGCTTCAGTTAAGGTGATAGTCAGTGTATCACTCTGGGCTTAATATCCGTGCAGGTGTTTATATAACTGGCTTTAGAAGTCTCAATATTAAGTAAGAATATTTTACTCAGTTACATTATATTTTACAAATTATCTTAGTAGGCTTAGTAAATGAAACTTAGATTGATTAAAGGAATTTGGTTTGGGGGAAGGGGCAGTTTATTATGCTTTATATTAAAGAGAAAAAAACAAACATACTGAAAACTAATTAATTGTAATGAATATTGATGTTATTGTTTTTATACTCAGAATTCCTAGCTGCATTTTTTTTCCCTTCCTATAGGATAACGGCAGAGGAAGAGAAATTTAAAAAGGAGTGGGAAGAAGACTGGGGTCCCAAAGAACCTCCCAAATCTCTAAAAACTGTAACTGCAGAAGTGCACTCTGCCCCTCGTTCCAAACACAAAAGTAAGTCATTGATTTCAATCTGCTTCCTAGGGAAAGTATTTGTTTCAGACACATCACGGAGCTGTATGGAATATATCACCAGTTTGTGTCCAAGCCAAGCTAGCTATGACTGTTATTTTCAGAAGGATGGAAGCATGTGATGGATTAACTTAATAGCTCTTGTTTAACAGGTACCTAGCTTGCGAAATCTACATCCACTCAGTCATGGTTTTTAACAATCAGCAGCAGCAGGAAAAAGAAAAAAAATAAAGTTCACTAAGAAATTGGCTGAAGTATCAACCTCTTTAGCTTGGGGTTTTGGTGTGCTGCTTTCCATGTTGTTTCTGTTCAGTGTTTTGCTTGTCAAACTCTTCACAGAGCAGTTCTTGCATCAGTAGACTTGTGCTGATTTCCACTATATATCCAAATGGAAGTAGTGCTGCGTTTTTTATGACATGTGATTATGTTTTTATGTCCATGTGGATAAGCTGATATTCAAATGCTAACTTACATACGTATGAGTGCTTTCGTCTCAGTGAAGAAAATATTACATACAGTAATAAGTAGTATTTTAGGTTTTATGGGCATTTTGTTATTGGGTTTTGTTACTTTTGAAAATGAAGGTATGAAGAAGGGGAGACAAGTGTTTGTTTTTGTTCTTTCATTTGGAATTAGCTTTGAGCTTTCTGCATTAATCATATTGGCAAATAACATCATTTTTATATTTGAGAAGAGATCTTGGGAGGTGGGGTGTTTGAAAGTAGAAAACTATACTAGATTTGCAGTCTCATTTGGAGTCAATGAATGCACTTTGTACTATTCCTATTGTTACCTTTTTTCTTCTCCCTTACTCTAAGTCAGTGTGGAGATTAGGGTTTTGAGTATTTTTGTATGCTTGCTTCTAACTAGAAAAGATAAATATGGAATCCCTGCTTTTGGCTTGGAGGAAATGAATTCAGTATTTAATTTTCAGAAAAATCTAAAGATCTTTTCCTTCATCTCTTCACCAGCACCTCGGTCCTCTCTTACTTTGGCAGTCTTTGGAGGCTGTAGGAATGTCTTGAAGCTCCCTTGCTTCTCTTCCATGAGGAGGAGTAAACAACTTAATATATTGAATGTGATAAAAAATGCAACAGAAGCCATTGTTGCAAAACAACAGTAAGATGCTAGACAAAAAAGAGAAAAATCAAAGATCCTTAAGAATCAGCGACTTCTAAAAAGTGTTTTTCCTAGATCTTTTGACAAATCTGTTTCTTGCCAGCATGCCTTTCACATCTAACTTAGTCCTTCTCAGGCTAAAGTATTCACCACATCATTTTTCTGCATATCACTTTCTTCAGTTCATGCTCTTTTGACAACTATCTTGAAAATGAAATGATGATGGCATAATGATATTTACAACTGTTGCAAAAAAAAAATCTTGCACGCTAACAGCTTGGGTAGCAAACCATGTAAGCATGTACTAATTAAAAGCATGCAATCAGAACTTCTGTATCAATTCCTAGTCACCAAATCATGAGAAAGCTAGGCACATTTGTAAGAACTTGCAAAATTCAGGCATCTGTGAGGTGCTGTGTGTAGTAGCAGATCTGTTAATATCTTAAAGAGACTATCTGTCAGTGGGGAAAAAAAAAATCCTGCTTTTTCAAATGTGGATTACCTGTAGACTTTGAAACATCTTTTCCTTACTTCTTGTTTTTTCTATTCCCCTCCTACTATCATTTTCCTTACTGAATCTATCTCTTTTTTTCGTCCTCTGTTCTCTTTCTTCCTGTCTTTTTCCTCTTTTCATCCATTGCAGCAAATCTTTCAGAAGCAGGCTGTAGTCTGCACAGCCTGAAAATTGATTTGATATCACTGGGCAGTCTGCTTCAGAATTAGTCAAGAGACTGTGGAGGTACTGTTTGTACACTGCAACTTTTCCATGAAGAATTGCCCTGACGTGTAAGTTTGAGTTGACAAAACAATTTAAGATGCTTGGAGCTTAATTTGCAGTTAAGAAGCTAAGCTGGGAGCTATAGATAGTATGTGGAGAGTGTACTAAAACAGTATTAGACACAGGAAAATTGGAAAGTGCTTGTGGAGCAGGTATTGCATAACTTAAGGGAGACCTGGGTTGGTTCCTAACCTGATTATGTTAGTTTTTGCGTGACTTTGGGGAAGTCACTTAACTTTTCTTGGATGAGAAACTGAGATGGGGAAATAGTTCTTCTGCAATCATCTTTTAGCCATTTAGCTTTCTGATTCTTCAGGATAGTGTTTTCTCTGTATAGCATTTACCAAAGTGACAGTGCAGTAGAAGGCAGATATTTCTTTTCGAAGCCAGATATCCCAGAACTGCTGATGGTTTAATTACAGGAAAAGCCACCTACCTCTCCAGGCTTCCCTTCATAGCGGAGCTGACTAATTGGCCATATGCAGATCCTAACTGCTCTTCAGGGTTGAAGGAAGTTGGAAATTGATTTGATTTAAGCAGGAACTCAGGTTTTTTCAATTATGTGGAAAAATATCCTGTTGCTAACTTCTTTTTATGTTATGGAGACTCCTAGTCACACATTGCTGATCTCTTTTTCGTTTCATGGGAACCTCCAGTTAGACTGTCATTTCTGTCTCCTCACTCCTTTCCTCCTTTGTTTCTCTAGTAGATTTAAAGGGAGTTGCACATGACCAACTTGAAACAGATGACATGGATGAAGTGATCATGAAGCAGGACAAACAGGTTTGCTGCTCAGCCTTGACTTTCTATCCTGATTCAGATTCTTCCTGTGTTTCCCTTCCTCCTGACAGTCAGTCTTGACACTGAACTGATCATTTGGTTTTGCTAGGGCAATACATGTTGTCATTGTTTTCTAAATATACCTTGATACATATACAAAATCTGTCAATCCTACAGAAAGGTGGATTGTATTTAGAGCTGTGTGTTATGTTTCTTATATAAAATTATGATAACAAATTCTTTTGTATGTCTTTAGTTAGCAATGTGTCTTTTAATATTTATGCACTTGGCTTGAAATATTTTATCCTAGGAAATGGAGCTTTCCTTGTTTTCTTAAATGCCACTGTGTTCTGCCACAAGCTTGAATGAGTTTGAATACCTGTTTCATTTTAAGAAGTCTTGTTAAAACTAGTGTAAAGTAGGACTGTGACCATAGAAATCTTAGCAATGCATATGGCTGTATGGTTCTGTATGGAGACTACTTGTTGCATTTGCTTTGCTTAACATAAAATGTGTATCAGTAAAATAAGGGTAACTTGTGACTAAATGTAGTAGCACAATTGATCAAAAGTTGTCTAAGAACTTGTCATGTAATATTGAACCTTTGGTGTTGCGCCTTCAAATAAATTTTAATCAGTTACATGTGTCAGCATGGATTGATCTGAATCTGAACTGGTCCTCGACTTTTCTTCAAAAAACAACTTTTCCTTTACCTTTTTGTAGCTTTTGGATGGTTTTATCGGTATGAAGGAAAATTTCCCACAATCCGCAAGGTACAAAATTTGATGTGAATTTGTTTGCAGTGCATTTCAATTTTACTTCATCTTTTTTCTTCTCTGTTATTACTAGACATTCTTTATAGTCAAATGCTGCTTCTTTTAACGTGCACAAATTAAGATGCGTTTGGGATGCATCTGCCTAGGAGTTTGTCCTTTTGAATACTTTGGACTTTTCAAGTCCTGCCAGCTGCAGTGGGAAGTGTATGTCAATACTTTGCAGAAGGTGTTCAGTACAGGTGGGCAGTGTATATCTTTATGTTCTCCGAAAGTCCTCAGAATAATATATAAAAAAAAGTACAGAGACAAAAATGCAAGGGGGACCAAGTATGCAGTTCCCAGTTATACCTTTGCAAATTTCCCAGTAAGAGGAGTGCTGATGGCAAAAAGCATGTACATCACAGCGAATGAGCAAAAACAATTGAAAATCTTTAAGCTTGATAGAATACTTTTATATCTGTAAGTTGCTGCTAAAGTATTGCAATTTCAAATTATTAGAGTCTCAAACAATACTTTATTCCTGCTCTTGCTTTATTCTCTTTATTTCTTTCAATGTATATTAGCCATGTTATAGGGTTTTTGTGGTTGTGTTGTGGGTTTTGTTGTGGTTTTTTTTGGTGTGATGGCTGATGGTAATTAACTGGGGTATAGAAGTGTCAAGGAGGGTTCATATGTCTATCTCCTGAGAACTCAAGTTTTCTGAGGAGGTCAGGATTGTATCTGACAGGTGAAGTATTTCTGTCACCATTTAGGACTATTACTTTAACTTTGTGTGGGCAGGAAATGCCTATTCTCCTTAATGAAGAATAGGAAATGATGGTATACTCCAATACCACTTTGTACTGCTAGTGACTGTAAATCGTCATGGATCTGTAACTTGTGTGAAAGCCAGTACAGTTAGGATTTCTATCTGAAAAGTATAAATACATTTTATGAAAACTCAAGTCTCTTCACACAATAGGTGTTCTTCATTGCTGCTGGCAAAGATAGTTTAGAGAGCCTCTGAATACCTTTTAATATAGTAATGAAGATCTTACCCAGTTCCTGTTGAACTCTACTACACAGTGTGGACTAGATGCTCAAAAAGATGTATTTTTAATCTTTTTCTTTTAGAAATACTTTTAAATCTGGAAGTGATGAATTTTCACCCTACTCCAAATTGCTAATTGCTTTTTTGTTTTGTCTTAAAATGAAAACTTCACTCTGTACTAAAAATGTCTTTAATAGGAAGTAAACTGAATCCATGGGGAAAATGGATGGAAAGGATGACTCATCCTGTTGTATCTGAATGCAGTGAATGCAGCTAAGATTGCCTGATATATGTTCATATTCTGGAACACTTTGGCATGTGTACTGCTCAGTGTGCCTTTAAATTTAGTAATTTTTCAAATGTTGATACCTGCCAGATGTTACATTTAGTAGACAGTACTAAATGTACGTTCTAATTTATTAGAGGGTAAGATAATATCAGCAATTGTTATTAAGGCATAAACCAATTAGCCTTGAATAAAGCATGCCAACAGAATTATGTTTATGTTAAAACATTACTGTGAAAAGCTAGGGGTTTTTTACTTAAACTTTTTCAAATTTTTGTCTTCGATGATTATTGGTTTGTTTTTGGTTTTTTTTTCTAACAACACCCCCACTTAACCATGAAGCAATAGACAACATCCCACTGAACTCAGCAGTACAAAGTTCCAATTAACTACTTGACTGGGAGAATTTACTTTTGTAGCTGCCAGGGAAAATGTCTATTTCCCAAGGCTTTATTACCAATATTATATGTAAAAGGTGGAAGGAAGACAAATAATGCTATGTAAGGTGAAGCATGTTCGTGCCTTGAATTCCCAAAACCACCGTGAAAAGTCAGTAGCTGATGATAATGAGCGGAGTGAAATCAAACCTGAAGTGTAGCCTCTCTGGGCACCAGCAGTAATTGACAGTAAGTGGCCAGCTGCTCCTCGTTTTTACTTTTTGATGACTAAAAGAAGAACATGGGCTTTCGAATATGAACTAGGCCTTACCAGTACAAATGGGAGAGGGTAGCAGAAATGTGACATCGTTAAAGTAGAAGTAAGGAGCAGGGTGTATTTTGAAGACAACAGGAACAGAGGCTTCCAAAAGACTATGTAGTTTTCCCTTTTGGTTGCACTCTACATCTAAAATCTTAGAGTTGCTTTGTGCTGTCTTAGTTCATTCACGTGAGATTTTATCTGGTGCTTGTAGGAGCTACTTGGTCTTCATGATGCAGTGTTCTTTCCTGGGAGCAATTCAGTATCTGCACTGAACTAAACCTTTCCTTTGTAATTGCTCATTTCAGTTGTATTAAGGCATGCAATGCTGGTTTTAGGACATACGCATGAAGATGTTTTATGTGTAGAATATTCACATCTACCTATACATGAGCATCTGTCACCTGAAAGCAGTCAGTCTTGTATTTATATAAAAATGCCAGAACAGAGAGATGGCAAATCAAGACCTAACCAAAACTGTTTGAATATTCAAAGTTTGTAGTGGGCCTTTGTGCCCTAATGTTGTAACTTTGCAGAGGAGCAAAAAAGTTGAACTGTCTGATCTTGTCCTACTTATGTTAATGTGCACAGGCCCTCCAAATAAGGTATGATTTCCTGCAAATTGCTGGGGAAATGGACTTTAGATTTTCTTTTAAAAGACCATCCTCATACTTGCACAGACTGTAATTAAATTTTCAAGGCAGGCACTCATGTACTGAGCTTGAAGTTTGCAATGTTTTTAGCTGGTGTAAAAATCTGTTGAACTAAAAAAAAAAAAAAAAAACAAAAAAAAAAAAAAAAAAAAAAAAAAAAATTACAAAACCTTCCAAAAAGGGAAAAGACAAAAAAAGGAGTCAAAAAGTGACAGTCTGTGTGAACAGAAGAAGAATAAAAAGGAAATGGAGTTTGAGCAAAAACTTGCCAAAGAGAAAGAAGGAATGTTGGAGAAAGAAAAACAACTGAAAATAAATCGTCTCGTGCAAGAGGTATGTTGTGTTCTCCTATCAAGTGCAAAATTATATTGAAAGAAAATGAGCTGCATCTTTAGTGGAATTATCTGAGCAGGACATTTGTTTAATTATGTCAAAGATAGTGAAGTTTTAAAAAAATTGTTGTTGCACTGCAAAACTCTGTTCCCAAATTTGCTTGTTTCTACAGTCAGTTTTTGCCCAAATGAGGATACCTCTGTAGTTAATGAGTGTCTATGTGTAGTGATGAATTTAATGAAAGACAGCAAAATAGGAAATTGTTCTCAAAAGCATAATTAGTTTTAAAACTAATTTAAATGCCATTTCATACTTTTGAAACAGTCACTATACCTATAACCTTTTTTCATGCACTGATGTTACGGTTAAGGTATCTGAGACAGAACGAGAAGACCTGGAAGAATCAGAAAAGGTGCAGCACTGGGTGGAAAGACTTTGTCAAACACGGTTAGAACAGATTTCCTCTGTGGAGAATGAGTCTCCTGAGGTAAAATTCTGGCTTCTCCATATATTGCATGATCTCTAAATAACTCGCTAGTTGTCTCCTAAAAGCAACAGGTTTTTACCAGAGAAAAACCTGTCTTCATCTTTCCATCTCAGCCTTCATTCTAAGAGGGGGGAGAAAAAATGTCAGTAATTGATGAATTACAACCTATAGCATTTGTTGTTCCTATATTTTATGGTAATTTCTTTATTATTTTAATGAACTGTTTTTATTTTTTCCTTTTTAAGTATATTATCACCACAAAATTAGCAATTTCCTTGGCTCGTGTGTTGTCTGGGCTAGGTGGGATATGCTACCAATAATAAAACTGAGACTTGAATACCCAGCCATATTTTTTAGTATCCTATGCAAATAAGAACATCATTGATGATGAGCTCTTGGATGCTTCCTTGTATTGCATGGAATAAAGCTACAGGTTAAGAAAATGACAAAAAGATAAGAAACTCCCAAAGAACAGGGTTCAGATTTGTGTTTTAAATAGTCCCCTTAAACAAAGGGAGCTGCAGATAGTGATTGTGCCTTAGAGCCTGATGGTTCTAGATGTGGAGTGAGGCTTTCCCACCATCCTGCTGCTCTGGCTCTTTTCCAAGCACAGCTGCTTTCAAGAGGAACACTGCAATCTGCTGAACTCCCCCGGGATCCCCAAGAAATTGCAACCACAAAGGGGACCCTCGGGGAACACTCTTGCGTGAATTTCCTTCAGGTCAATGTGGAGCAGCTCTGAAAAAAACAGCTGGTCTTCTGTTCTTCCTGGCCTCAGGCTCGGATCCATGTGGCTCTTCAGTGCAGGTCTCTAGGACAGTGGAATGATTATACTGCATTTTCTCTCACTACCTAAATTTGGCTGCCTGTGTTCTGCTAGATCTTTGTCCCCCTTACTTTGTAAAGTAAGAGGGAACATTACAGATTAAAATCACTGTTGTATTTCCAGAACTCTATCCTGATTTAAGACAAGCACCCTGTGTTGTATTTGCTCTATCAATTCTTATATTATGTTATATGTAAATATTTTATTACAGTTCTTCTACAAAACTACCCAAGCGGTTAAACTCATGTAAAACACAAAACTAGAATGCTTCTGAGGGATAAATGCAGCTGAACGATATTCAGGTACTACAGGCTTGAACTGCTACTTGGGTACAAGAGCAGTCAAGATCTCTTGACCTCTGCCAAAGAAATACCTATTTTTTAGTACCAAGGGGTGAGTATGGCAGATAAGGAGATCCCAAAAGATGTCAACAGAGATACCCACTTGAGGGAAGTATTGTCACATTAGACTGAGATGCATGTGTCTGTAGGACAGCTCATATCTCTAATAATGAACCCTTCTTCATGCACACAGACTTATCTTTTGGCTGAGCTGCTTATTATGTTCAAACTCTGGAGTTTGTTTGCCACACAGTGCGTCTGGTCTTGATTAACAGAAATTAGAAGGTCCAGAACCTTCTGAGGATCTGAATTTCGTAGCAACCTAAACTTTTTTGTTTTGATAGCTGCTGGAGCTTACTTCCCCCCTCTTGTATTAATGTCTCGTTATGTTGGCACCAGAATTTAGCCCCTTTCCCTTTTTTAATGGCATGGAATTTCAGGGCCCTGTCTTTGATTACTTTCCTTTTATATAATCACCTTTGCAAGGAGCAATTCTTGCTTTCTCTTCATAAGGTCTGGAGAGGCAAGAGTTGTGTTATCTGTGATTTGTCCTACAATTTTACCATCTAAAGACTCCATGCAGGTGTGTGGTTTGGTTTTTTTTCCCCTGTGTGTCATTCTCCCCCTGCCACAACAGCCAAGGCTACTGTCACAGCACTCCAATTTTTTTCTTTTTAAACTGGCATCCCAGGGAGTGCTTTTAAAAAGGCTTTTGGAGAAAAAGTTTGTGTATTCTGTGTGGGATAAGCCAAGAGCTTCCTGTGCAGAAGCAGTTAGGCTGAGTGATGTTCTAGCATTTGCCATTAATTTCTTCAGAGCTGTTGCAGGCAGATGAACTGTTAAGGCAGGTTTCTGTCCTGTTGCACATAGTTGGCAAGTGGACGACCTTCTGCTTCTCCTTCTGCCACATCAATGCGGTGCTTTGCCGGTGGCTTGCAGCTTCATACCACAGATCTTGATGATATAAACTTAGATGAAGTTGACAAGCCTAAACAACGTGTGACGCCACCTCTGCCACCACGAGCCACTGTTACTCCAGCAGCATCAGCTCATCCATTTCCTACATCAAACGTTCCACTTTCAAGAGGTCCAGCCCTGGCAGTAACGCCAGCTTCCCAGGTGACTTCATGACCTGTTTGAACGCATGTGCTTCTACCGTTCCCCTGCCTGGCCTCCCTCCCCTGCTCCATCACCCACTTCATCCACTGGATCTACCCATCTGCCATATGCAATATTAAAAGAAGAAATGGGATGGTTTCATTGTTTCATAGTAGTGAATGCAGTCCGGAGGTAGTTTTAGTTTAATTTTTTTTTTTTAATTTAAGTCAAGGGGGTTTTGCTCTCTCCTCCCTATGTACATTGTAACCCTACCACATGCAGGTATCTTGGGCAGAATGTATCAGTTAAACACTCAAGTCCAAATTGCCTGTTTAAAGATTAAAAAAAAAAAAGCAATGGCAGGTGGCGGATCTAATTTGTAGTTAAATTTGAGAAAAATATCCATGTAGTGAAAATGACTTGTGACGATGTTTTAATATGTCATCAAATTGCTTTGTTAGATGAGAAGAGTGGACAAGGAAAATCAGCTTAAAATCAGAAGCTCAAACTTTTAATACATCAACACGGTATAAATTACTAGTAAAATACTTTTAAAAGAATGAGAGTTGGTAATCAGGTTTTACTTTTTTGGGGACACAGGAGTTAAGAATTTCTTTGAGAAAATATTGACTTTCTCCTTATTACAATCTCAGTCCTAAAGAGGATCAAATAGAGGAAATCTTGTGCCAGATCTCACTTTAGGAGAGAAATGGCAGCTGTTTCATCATAATTCCCTTTGCTAAGCCCTGTAGTGGGATTCATGTACTCATTTTTATGGCAAAAGATTCTTGTTTCAAACAGCAGAAGAGGATCCCATATGGTCACTTCTTTCCTACACAGTTTTCTGCATGGATTGACTGACTGCATTGTTGGTTTTCTTTTTTTTTTTTTTGCATGTTTACTTGAAAATACTAGGCTTTGCTTTTGCATGATTCTGGTTGGGGTGGGGAAGGATATGCAAATTAATCAGGGAAAACTGGCAGATTATTTCTATGTGAATAATTGCCCTAATGTGAACTATCAATCTCTCCTTATAAACTGAAGTAGGCCTCTGATAGTGCTTGATCTATGTGGTTTATATGTTTGAAGTGCCAAGAATATGCTAGATCCACTGAAATGGAGATGTCAGATGTTCTTACGGATAACAGGTTTTCCAAGTTATTTGCAAAATAAAAATGATGTGAAATGATACAAGCGTACAAAATACTAGCATTCAGAGGAGAAATACATTCTCCTAATGCTAATAGAAAATATACAGATAAAAAGTAATATAGGAGCTGCCATACTGGATCTGACCCCAAACCCATATATTCTAGTATATGTTTCTGGTGGTTTTTCACTGCTAGATATGTTAGAGAAAAGAGGTTAATAATTAAAGAAAAATATATCGGGCAACAACAACAAAATAACCTAACCTTCAAAAATAAGCCAGTTTTCACCAAATATCATTAGTGTATATGAGGAAAGAACTAAGCTCTTAGTAAAGTATTAATACTGAGCCAAAGCTGCTTTGTTTATAAGTAGATAACCCAGTATTCCTGATGTGGTTTCAGACATGGAAGAAAAATCAGAAGCTGGACAGTTTATCCTTGCTGCTTTTTAAAAAGTCAGTTTTTAATACCACAGATAAGCAGAAGTAGTGCATTTATTTGACTTCAGTGAAAAAAGACCTTGGGTTTATGCCTGCTAAAGCCAAAAATAAGACAACTGTTGTTGTCCCATAAGTTTATTTTTCTAATATTACTCAAACCGGTAAATCTTATCTATGTTGCTAAGGTTTTTTTCCCCAGATCATTTAATTTCAAATTCAGCTTGAAAAAATACCTGACAAAAAGAAGGAAATCCTGTCAAAATACATTCTTGACAACTAACTATTAAAATATCTGGTATAAATTGATCTGTTTCTCAAAATTATTATTAGCTAAATACTTTATATGGACCCAGTACTAAGTCTGTTACTGTTTAGGTTGTAAGAAACACCTCCCACGTCGGCAAAATATCTTCTGTGTCAAGCAGTCCGCTGGTATGTCATGTACTGTTAGTAATGACTGTACTTTTATGAACTTCCCATGTAATGCTAATGTCAAGGAAATGTCAAGGGTTCGACTCTGCATGCTAATTTCTTTAAAATTCATCACTTGCATTCATGTGCATGGATCCATTGCTGTGTTACAAGATACCTAATACCAGGTAATGAAAGTGACTCCTAATGGTCTGAGGACTTGGTATTTCCAACACTTCAGCAACATACAGTCCATGTTTGCGTGGTCTGTATGTCATACTTTGTTCTTCTGTCAAGACACACAAAAGGAGCTAGGACCAAACTATATTTTAAATACAATAGGGGCTAAGAAGCAAGCTTTCTTCTCAGAAGAACCCACATTTGTTTGGTAACTCTTTGCACTGATTTTGATTCAGGATGGCCGGATGTCAGGTTTCCCCATTCTGAGGCCCTCTAGAAAAGTCTGTCTCTAAACTGTGCAACTCAGGAGAAATCATCCAGTTCCAGTGCAACTTTAGCAAGTTGATATCTGTGAACCTGCCAATTCTTCTAAGATCAGAAAGCTTAACGATACAATATATTTTGTGGTGTGGAACAACATTAGTTGAGGGATATCCACAGGGACTCTCAAAGATCTGGTTCCAAAACTTTTTTTCTTAAATTATTTAAAAAACAAACAACAAAAAAGACAAACAAACAAACAACACCCCCAAAATTCCGCTATTTAAAAAAAAAAAGTGGCTTAAGCAATTTTCTGGAAACAATTCAAATAACTTCAGAAGATACAGCTTGTACTATATGAATGATATCTGGAATACATCACATTTCCTATGAGAAACATTGACAAGAGTGTGCTGAGAGTTGCTGGGGTTAAGTCAGAAACTAAACCCACAGGGCTCTGTTTTGAACTCTTTTCTTGAATAAAACTATGCTTGACGTCAGTGGGATTTTTGACTGAGTAAGAAGTGTACAATTGGGTTGTACGTGCTGGATGATTAGGTCTCAGATGCCTCTGGGTATCTGTACTTTGTAGAGTCAAGGGTAGGTAATTAGTGTAACTAACCTTTGCTCTTAAGTCAGGATAAGTTAACTTGGAATTCTTTATGGAAAGCTGATTGCTGCAGTCCTGGCGAATTTCATCTTAAAAGATCTGTTTAGCCATAGATTAGTTAAAATCTCATTTCAGGTTCACTATGTTCTTACACTCAACTTTAGCATTTTTTTTTTTCTTGTAGTTTTTCATTCAGTTCACTGCCTTTATGGGATAAAATGCCAAAAGCAGGGATGAGATTTTTCCATAATCTTGCTGGTTAAGTCAGAGTTTAGGGGAAAAAGCCACTATTTGCATGCAAGAGAAATTATGTTTTGGCTTGTTAACTTTGTAAGTCTTAAAAATAATTGTGTAAGCCTTTTGTTGTATTAGGGTCATTAAATTAATTACCATAAAATGTGTGTATTGGGGCATCTTGGTGAAATGATGGATTTGCACAAATTACATTCTAAATTGTAATTTTCTTAAATTAACCCCATAGCAGCTTGCTCCAAGTCCACCTACCCAACGACATCCAGGGGTACCAATAGTCTCTAAACCAATCATGCTGCATCCTGACCCAAACTTTATGGTCAGGCCAACAATCAAATCAGAGGCCCTGGTAAGCCTTTTAATGTTCTTTTTCTGAGTGCTACAGTGCTGTGGGATTTGTTGTTGACTTGTCCTCAAAGAATCAATGCTTGTCTTGTTTTCTGCTACCTAAAATTCATGTAGATTTTCAAATGATCACTAATGGTAAGTACAAAAGGGTATTTTTCCATTTTTTTCATGATCTAAAAGTCACTCTTAATGACAATTCTTGTACTGGGGTGCATAATTCCAGAGCGGTGTAGAGCCTTAGATTCTGCAGATCTTATTTTCATTTATTCACATGCTGGTTTGTATTTTTATAAATTCTGAATTCCTTTGTCAGAAATGAAATAGTAAAAATTAATTACACTGTGTTTTTCCTTTGTAAATAGTCATGAACATACTTGAAATGTAGATATATGACATAGACAGTGGGATCGAGTGCATCCTCAGCAAGTTTGCAGATGACACCAAGCTGAGTGGTGTGGTCGACACGCATGCACGGGACGGGATGCCATCCAGAGGGACCTGGACAAGCTGGAGAAGTGGGCCCATGTGAACCCTCTGAGGTTCAACAAGGCCAAGTTGCAAGGTCCTGCACCTGGGTTGGGGCAACCCCTGGTATCAAGACAGGCCGGGGGATGAAGGGATTGAGAGCAGCCCTGCCAAGAAGGACTTGGGGGTACTGGTGGATGAAAAAGCTGGACGTGAGCCAGTGATGTGTGCTCGCAGCCCAGAAGGCCAATCGTATCCTGGGCCGCATCAAAAGCATGGCCAGCAGGTCGAGGGAGGGGATTCTGCCCCTCTACTCCACTCTGATGAGACCCCACCTGGAGTACTGTGTCCAGCTCTGGAGCCCTCAGCATAAGAAAGACATGGACCTGTTGGAGTGGGTCCAGAGGGGGGCCACAAAAATGGTTGGGGGATGGAACACCTCTCCTATGAAGAAAGGCTGAGAGAGTTGGGGTTGTTCAGCCTAGAGGAGAGAAGACTTCGGGGAGACCTTCTTGCAGCCCATCAGTACTTAAAGGGGGCTTATAAAAAAGATGGCGGCAAACATTTTAGCAGGTCCTGTTGCGACAGGACAAGGGGGAATGGCTTTAAACTAAAGGGGGGTAGATTTAGACTAGATATAAGGAAGA